ACGTTAGCCTCAATGTGAAAAAATCAACAGCAGAGAGATTGCATTACTGCAGTCAGTGTGATTTTGGACAGGAGTAATCCACTGAAGACACTGTATGTAGAGTTATTAAGTTTTATGTGGTCATAGGAACATTGTTAGGGTTAGGGGCCTTTACATGAAATGCAGAGGGTACCAGGCCTTTATTTGAAGCAGACTTATATTAGAGACAGGCCTTTGTTTCTCATTCCCATTATTTTATTTTATTTGCATTATGCTGTTAATAAAGGTGTTAAAGGATCATTTCAATATTTTTAAACCTGGGTTTAACCCTATTTTCATAAATTTTGGTGTCAAAATGACTAGGAGGTACCAAAGGTTTTGGAATCCGTGCAGTAGATGGCTTCAGCCAGCAGCCCCGAACTGAGAGAGGAGTTTGTTGTGTATTTAGAGGAACTGCTAGCAAGACTTTATTTCCTAACGTTACTTTTGTTTCTTGTTAAAAACAGTGTCACCAAGAGTCACTCGTAGGGATCCTTTGTTGTCAGACACCTCACAATTGACCCCAAAGGCCCCCAAAGCCAGTGGCTGCAACATATTTACCTTATTTTACATTTTGATGGGTGTTAAAATCACCCAGATTTAACAGAGCATGGAAAACATTTGTTAAATATTTCATTTGTTTGAAGAACTTAGCACCGACAAGAAGGATGTCATCATCCTTCATCATCACCCAAATCCTGCCCAGGATGTGAATGAATTGTTTATCACCACCATTGTCGCAAACAAACGTATTTGCACACCTCAAGTAGAATTAGCTTTAGTTATCTTTCATCTATAACTGACTTCCATTGTGAAAGTCAAATAAATCTGACTGCAGCAGAGGGATATGTTGAATATGCTTCTTCTTCTTCTCTCACTGTACATAGGTATGTTTCAGACCATAATACATATGTGCAAATTGCTGTCTGACTTTTGGATCACAACTTGTACCTTTTTAAAGGATAAATACTAGTACTAATACTAAAGGATCAATACTAGTGATGCAATATGCAATATATATATATTATTTTTTTAACCTATATAACATAATGGTTTAATGTACATTTTCACTATCATCTAAACATTTCTTATCCTTTTTTGACTTTCATATTCATCAATAAAAATGTGTGTTTTGTTTTCAATGAGGTCAAAGGAGATCCAATACAGCACAGTGACTCGATTAATTTAATCACCCTTTTGTCCCCCATGTAAGGAGATGAAAGAAATGTGCTGTAGTAAAACAGTTTGGAGCGCTTCTGAAGTGGGTCAAAGTGAATCCCAATTGTGGCTCCCGTGGTATTGCTGGTTTATCTGAGCTGACAGACTTTCTGGATCAACAACCGAAACCCACTGGAGCATGAAGCATCACCAACTCGCTTTCTGTCTGCCTTCCTAAGTGTGTGTGCATGTCTATCTGTCTGGCTGTCTGCCTACAGCATCTGTCTTGAGTGTGCAGGAATCTGAACTGGCAATATTGTAAAGACATATCCTGCAAAATTGTTTCTGACCCTACTGAAATGGGCATAACAAAACCTCACAAATGACACAAAATTTACCATGCAAAATATGGAATAAAAACTAGACTAATTTACAAGAGATGTGAGTCTCTTTGCAAGGAGATCAGGTCATTTCGTGTGTATATTTTTTATACTTTTTGACTCTCACTTCATTGCTGCTTCCACTAACATTCCCTTTCCTATACTGTATCAATTTAGCCACACACATAGTTATGGCATCAGTGAAGGTATACATAAAAAAACACAGAGTTAATGAGAAATAATCTTGAAATGCATACATTTCAACTGTATTTGGAATGTGTTACATCCCTTTTGAAATCTGACCCGCAGTGCCCTCTATTGGATGTCCTCAGGTGGTGCAATCACTATAATTCCATGTATGTTGTGCACTGGTGCTGCAGACAATTTATACCAGATAATTTGTCAAACATGTCCTGCACTATTTTATGCATTTTTACATATAACAGCTTAGAATCCCTGCAGAATTTGTTGGACTCTAAGTCTATCTGATACAAATTATGATCTCTCTTTTACCACTTCTGCTTCATCTTGCATCTTCAGAATACAGCACACCCTTCTATGTATTAGAATTGAACCAAAGCCTATAGACATTTAGTAGGGCCATTGCTTTCTGCACATGTGTGTTTGACACTACCAGTAGTGATCACCATGGTCTGGTATTTTCAAATGGCATTAGAAATCCACAAGATGGCAGTATACTCCATACAAAAAAGCTCATCAACTACTACCACCACCATTATTTTTTAAAGCATAATAAGGCACAACACATGACAGTACATGTATAAGCTTAAACATAATTTAATTGTGGTATTTGCAAATTTCATTAAAACTTTTTTTTCATTAAAACATTAAAACATTTTTTTTCCAGGTTAAGATCAAATCAATTTTGAGGATGGCATCGTCTCAATTTGTAGCTCTATTACTCAACAACAGAGCAGGAATACATTTATTGCCATTGATCTGGGGAGATGATGCAGTTATTAAGTTATGATTAGTTATTACAATCTTTTGTAATCTTTAACCATTTTATTGTATGCAACAGCTTGCCTACCTTCTGCAATATGATTGACCGAAGACACACTGATAACTCTCATAAAGCACAGCAGGCAGGGTGCGTGGGAGTGGGAGCGAGTGTTGATGTGTGAGAGCGTATGAAGGGTAGAGGGTGCAATGTGTGATGCCCATTTAAGGTCGCTACCTCAACCTGAGGAGCTGCCTCGGAATAACTGACATACCTCACAATATGATAACTGGCGGCTCAGCATGAAGAGGAGGAGGGAGAAGGCAGATAAGTTAGGAAGAACAGCCTCTCCAAGTGTAAACATCTAAATGTGTGACAGCCAGGAATGTGAAATGTTGTGGCACTTTAAGAGATGTGACCTTCACTTTGTGCTTTGTACATTCTGTACATTTTCAATATAACTGCTTCAAGTTTCTTTATCAAAATATAAAGAATGTTTGATTAATCTAATGAATGTATACATATTAAAGTATGTTTGATGTTGGACCTCTGTTGTATAAAAATGACCAGGTTGCACCAAACTGGTTCATTCCTGACTGTAAAGAAGAACATGCTGACGGGTGGGACAGTAAGTTCTCTACAGGGGACAAAAATGGGAGATGATAGGAGAGATGGGAATGGTGGAGGAAGGAAAAGGGAAGGAGAAAAGGAATGAAGCAACGTGAGGAAAAGGCATAGAGAAAGTGAGAAAGGAGGGAGGGAGGGAAGTAAACAAAGACGGTAGGAAAGAAGGATTGAAAACGCATAAACAAAGAAAGAGGCCACCTAGAAAAACATACAAAGAGGAAACAAAGGAATGCCAAAAAGATAGAAGGATGACAAGAAGGAAGGGAGTAATAGGAGAGGGCAGGAAGAGTAGAAAATTGGAAGAAGAGATCTTGCTTTCTCTCTGTCCTCCAGTCACTGCTGCAGAGTACTGCAGAGTACCACTAGGTTATAGAACCAATAAAAAGTCTGCTGAGCCTCCTGTTTGGAGAAATATCTGAGGCAATCCCCCATGGACTAAATTGTTCTCACTATACTGCACTAACATTAGCAACTGGATTCTTGTCTTGTCAAGCATCAGAAGAGATATTCTGTATTTAAAAAGTTTGGTGGCATGCCAAGAAGCATCACTCTGCTGTAAATGTCTGTATATCTGTGTTGCTGTATTTGCAGTATACAAATAGCAGTCTTCGAAAATACTGCCAAACTTTATCAAATGCACTTGTGCTCACTGACTTTTAGACAAGGTTGTTTATTTGTCGTTATACAATACAAGGTTCTATAACAAAATAAAGTTTGTAGTCCCTTCATGCTACACACACAGAACTTATCATATAATTCAGTGTATATTAAAAAATGGTAACAAATAAAATAAAATAAAACAATATAATCTGTTATTTATATACATAGGCTACATGTATACACCCAGAACATTCTGCATTGCATTTTTTGAATTTGTGTCTGGGGGAATATAAACAGCAGCAACAAGATGATAATATGGTTTTATCTTCACATTAAAAAGTCTGACATTTTGGAAAGAATGTCCATCTTGACTGAGCACCAAGCACCATCAATGTAAAACACAGAGTCCACATAAAGTGAAATATTTCAAGCCTTTTTTTTTTTTAAATCTTGATGATGGCTTACAGCTCATGAAAACCAAAAGTCCAGTATCTCAAAATGTATTAGAATTTTAGAATAAAGTATGTATAATACAGAAATGTTGACCTAAGAAGAGCTCTGATCAGCTAATTAACTCAAAACACCTTCAAATGTTTCCTGAGCTTTTAATCTCTCAGTCTGGTTCTGGTGCTCACAATTAACTTTTCCACAATATATTTTTTGAGATGCGCCTGTATAGGCACATTTCTTCTTTTTTTTTTCTTTTTAACAATGGAGTATAGTATTTGCCTCTTTAAATTAAACCCTCCTCAGTCTCAAAGGGGAAAGGTTGTTCTCAGGGTAGCAGCTGGAATGAGCAACTTGGCCACTCCTTTCATTATCTTGTAACTCCCCTAAGGCTCTTTTCTCTATCTCTCTGCTGTCTCTTTGCCATTCTCTGCTCTCTATCCCTCTGTCTCATCTAAGCCATCTCATCCTCCTTCCCTCTCATCCCCATCTATCATGTTCACTCCTAGTCACAGCATCCTTTTACCTCATTCTCTCTCTCTCTCCCATTGACTGCATCACCTGCACATTTATACATTTACACATACACAAGCGACCACTCTCTCTCTCACACACACACACGCACACACACTCACACAATCTCACACACACACAGACAGACACAAAGATGCTTACATCTATCCGCTCATGCTGGTGGACCAGGACGCTGCAGGAGTGGCAGAAGCAGCTGCTCTGACACAGTCTGGCGTGACGAATACACGCGGAAAAGCCAGGAGGAGAGGAGAGGAGGGAGGAGGAGGAGAGGAGGAAGAGAGAGGAGGACAGAGCTCTGTCAAAAGGACACCCAGAGGACGGGAGAAGGAGAGGAGGACGAGGAAGAAGAGAAGGGAAGGAGACCAGTAGAGAGGAGGGTTGCAGCCATGTCAGACACACCTCTGCAGAGGAACGGCACAGCAACAGCGCCGTAAGTAGATGTTCTTTATCTTTGTGTTTCTCTCTATCTTTCCCTCCATCTCTCTTCTCCTTGCCTGCATCCCTCCACCTCTCTCTCCTCCATCTGACAGGCAGGGTCGTCATGGGAACGGGAGCTCTGTCATGGTGAGGCTCCTGCACAGTCATGACTGGCGAGGGCACACGCGGTACACCATGTACACTCCTCCCTCTCCTCTCCTCTCCTCTCCTCTCCTCTCCGGCTCTCTTTTCTGCACTTACCCTCACACTCTCTCTGCAAACCTCTCACCCCACCGCACACCATCCCCTCATGCTTTTACTCTATTATCCTTTTTCTATCCTTGTGTCCTTTTCACAAAATCAGTCCTGCGCTTCTTCTTCATCATACAATTGAAGCTCTCACTGTTCAATTCCTTAACTACAATATGTGTGAATGTGTATCAGTGTGTGTGTGTGCGGGGCATGTTTTAGCATGTGGAGGCTGCAGGCTTGGTCCATCCTCTGTGTGTCAGCACAGTACGCCATGCTGCAGATCCCTTTTTCCTGTGTGCAATTCCGTGTGCCTGTATCTATAAAATGAAAATCAACCTAAAAAGACTCTTTGCATTCATGATTATTAAAACACCGGGATAGTCATAAAATCAAAGCAAGACAAATACCATGAAAATACCAGCAATGTGTTAACAATCTGTCTTTGAATCAATCTGACCCTTCAGCTGCGAGGCTAACATTGCGAGGCTTGCGAGTTTTCAGCACATCTACAGTGTTGCTGTTGGAGTTGGTCAATCCTAAACTTGTTCAGTAAGCTTACCACGGAGGAAATAAACATTAAATTAGCGGAAACAAGTGGAAAGTGGTTTATCGATGTCTTTACCAAAGAAATCGACAGGAAGTCATTTGTCAAGTGACCAAGATGCTACAGATGCTACAGACCCAGCCAGGCATCACACAGAATGTTGCGTTAAAAGATGGCGAGGCCTGACATGCTAACAGTCACAGAAAATGTTTTCTGTGGTAGCAGAATTTAGCTCTCCTGAGTGCAAAAAGACAGTGTCAAACAACACGACTGAAACACCCAATGAACACCCACAAAGGTGAGATTTATGCTTTTTAAAATGTTTTTCAAACCACATGTCAGACTTTAATAGGAGAGAAAGCTTCACGGATGAGGAGAAATTCAGAAGCACTCCAGTGAAGAGAAGGACAGATTTTAAATCTAGACAAAGAATGCCACATTAAAATGGGAGTGATGTCAGGAGCTCTGGAAATCATCAAACAGCTGAGTTCACTGGTTATTGGTCTCACTGAGATTAAAGGGAAAGTCTTAAAATTGTGATCATTTTTGTTGCACCTGATTGTGCTGCGATCAGCTGCTTTATGAACTGGTGTGGAGAGAAGTAGTGACAGTGATACTGTGGTGAAAACAGGAGAGTGGGAGTTGTTCTTTCACATTCAAAGCTTTGTGGGTGTACTCTGTTGTATTCTGCTAAAGCTACTGTTGGTGGAGAAATTCATATGGCTGCTATACAACAAAATGTAATTCAGAAACTGTTGACTAATTAATTTTCTTTTTAACAGTACTGAGGTGCTTATGGTAGATTTTCCTTTGAAACCCAGAAAGGATGATGTATATAAGATGCAAGGTCTGTAAACTACGTTTGTACAGTACTGCACCTCCAGGTTTGAAGGGACTTGTGACATAACGACATGTCACTATGCATCTTAATCTCATGTTGCTTGCTGTCCTGCGAAATATATGTCTGTTTTGGGGGCTTGTGCAACTTGAACATCTTATTTTTTGCAAATTTGGTAAATGCCACATGTATATCACAGAGAATAAAGTTTGTACAGTTTACTATGTCCTTGTGCAGGGCATATATGTTATTACTATGGTGATCAAACTGTCAAAAAAAAAATAATTAAATGTTCTGTAGATGTTGCAGATCAGGGAATGTTGAGCTGGTTTGAGTGATAACCAACTTGTTATATTGCGGCTTACCTACAAGCTGAGAGTCTAAATCAGCTGTCGACTGGTCGTTTGAGTGACAGGTCGGAGTGATTTCTGTGTCCTCCATCAGGGCTGCACCCATGAAGCAGGCAGAGAATGTGCAGTGTAGCGTGAAGCAGACATGCTTTGCTGGTGCATCAATAGTTAATGTTTTAATTGGGAAAATGAGACATTGCAGTCGTGATTCAGTCAGTCTATCACACCATATCTCTCCGTAGCTCTGTGTGTTTCATCTCTGAGCTATGGGCTCATTTTTCTCTGGGTTGTCCACTGATTCAGCAGAAAGACAAGGTAGTATTTGTGGTCATGTGGAGTGCAGACACCACAATGGCAGATGGCCCATGCTGCTATATTTATTGCACACTCAGGGAAGTCTTACAGGGGAGAGACTCTTAATAGTGAAGGGATAAATTGAGGATATCCAGGGTGGCAACCCAGCAAGAAGACAAAATTATCCACCATATTTGTTCTGCAGTTATTGTTATGTTCTACACAAGTACATGTATATTCATAGTGCATGATTTTATACACATGCAATTCAGTGCTTTACAGATTGAAAAACAATATCAAATGTTTCCTCAATATCTTCCTGACAGAGTGATCTATTTCACCATCCATTAGTGAATTTCCTTACACAGTTTGAGGAGGGTACCTTATCCATCTGCACTCCAAAAAAAATGGATGAAAGGAGACACGCAAACTACAGAAAAGAAGAAATATAATGACATTCAGAGAAAGAGGGAGCAGAAAGAACACGCTGAGGTGGTGATAATCATAGTGTCAGGAGGCCAACACATCTGCTTCTCATCTAAACTGCATGTCAGGAAGAGAAAAAAAGAGTAAAGGCTACTTTACAGAATAACAAAAAAAAAGTATTAAATGCATGCAGACACATATATGCATGCACTGATTGGTCGTGCATGTGAATTCTTCTCTCAACATAAAATCATCCCTAAGAGAATAAAAGATAGTGAGAGGAATAAAACAATAGGCTGAACGGACTGCTAACCAGTACAAGAGATGTTAATTCATATGCTAACTCAATTGTCATTCATACTGTAAGCAATGAGTTAATGAGTTTTTCTACTATCAATGTGTATGATTGTGGTAAATATTAGAGGATCTGCTTGCATCTGCAGCATGTAGCAGTCCTTTTACAGGCAGGGCATGGTTTGTTCACTGCCTTGGTTGTTGTTTGCAGTAATTCTTCAGAGCCTATCATCAGCTTTGAAAGTTATCAGTAATCCTGTAGTCTTTACAGTAAAATAAAAGCTGCTAGAACTGGCTTTACGTGGCTGTAGTGGACAGAATTATGGAACTGACTTCAACTTTTCTTGCCTAGATCGCCTTTTATAAATTATTACAAATTTTGTTAAATTTAAGACTAATTTAGAAGTGGAAAAATAAACATACTTCGCAGTAACAGGGACTGTGGTCCTCCGGGAATAGATCATATTAAATTAAGGGAAAAGGAGGTGAATTTTAGATTAAATACTTTAAAATAGTTAAACTGTATGTGCATACAGACAGACGGTGTGACACACAAACACAGCCAGACCTCCCTGAGTAATGTATAAAATATGAATGAGATCACAATCTGGCACTCCCATAGAAAATATGTCTGTTTGCTCTCTCTCTCTCTCTCTCTCTCTCTCTCTCTCTCTCTCTCTCTCTCTCTCTCAATTCAATTCAATTCAAATTAGCTTTATTGGCATGAATGTGTAACAATATTGCCAAAGCATCATACAAACTACATCAATCAACCCCATACATTTCATTAAACAAGTAATTAAAGTGTAAAGTAATCAAAGCATATGTGTGTTTGTGTTAAAAAAAATAAAAAGCATATTAAAAATTAAAATAAAATAAATAAATAAAACAGTAAGCGTGTGTGTGTTAAAAAATATATATATTAAAAATAAAACATACACTTACCGTTTTATTTATTTGTGTGTGTGTGTGTGTGTGTGTGTGTGTTAAAAAAACAAAAATATATTAAAAATAAAATAAATAAATAAAACAGCAAGCGTGTGTGTGTGTGTGTGTGTGTGTTACAATAATAAAAATAAATTAATTAAGTGTGTGTGTGTTAAAAAAACTAAAATGTATAAAAAAATTTAAATAAAATAAATAAATGAAACAGTAACGTGTGTGTCTGTATATTAATAGACAAAAATAATTAATTGATTAAAAAATATAATAATAATAATACATTTTTAAAAAGAAAACAGTATCAAATGTAAAAACAAAATAATTACTAAAATATCAAATGATCAAAATAATAATAATTTGAAAATTTGTACAATTATTTATCAGTCTGAGGTTCCACTGGTTGTCCTCACTTCATGTCTCTTAGTAAATAGGGGAGTTTCTGTGTGTCTGATATGAATTCGGGGTATATTTGGGAAATGTTTGCAAAGTGTTTTTGTCTTAGTGTTTTATATTTGGGGCATGAGGTTAGTAAGTGCAGCTCTGTCTCTACCTGTCCTCTGTCACACTGGGAGCAGAGTTTCTCCTCTTGTGGTAGCCAGCTCGGTCTGTGGTGACCCTTTTCTATGGCAAAGCTGTGTTCACTCAGTCTGTATGTTGTTAACATTTTTTCTTAGTTTAGTACATTATATTGTACTCTGGTAATTTGCCAGTGTGAATTCTCTTTTTAGGGTCAGATAACATTGTAATTTACTTTGTGTTTTGGTTGTTTCTCTCTGTCTCTCTCTCTCTGTCTCTCTCTCTCTGTCTCTCTCTCTCTGTCTCTCTCTCATACACACACACACACACACACACACACACACACTAGATGTGTGGCTCTATCTGTGTCTTTCAGTGATGGATAATTGAAACTTAGGAAAGGCAGGCAAAAGAGATGGCGGCATTAACATAACAAAATATAACACACACAAACGCACATGCACAGATTTTGTGACCATATTTGCTCATTCCTGCTGCCTCCTACTCACTTTTTGTTGTTATATTTCTGTGTGTGTGTGTGTGTGTGTGTGTGTGTGTGTGTTTTCCTACCTCTGGTTCCACATCTGGAGGACATTACCTCTTGGCAGGGATGGGGGGAGGCTGGCTATGCAGTGAGGTCATCGCATCGTCGTGGCGATGCATAGGAACAATGATGCTGTTGTCTCCAACGTATAGCTTACACCGAAATTGAGGGTTTGAAGGGGGAGGAAAGGTGGCAGCATTCTAGGGGGCGAGGAGAGCATTAAAAGTTGTTATAAAGAAGTTGTATAATGTTAAAGTAAGGATGTATGATTTTTAATGACAGTGGATGCAGCCAACATAATTATTAGATTGGTGTAAGTCCAGGTCAAACAGAGACTTTCAGAGAGGAGAGAAAGTCTCTGAAGGCTGGAAAGTCAGACAGCTGCAGAGCTGAGCCTGGTTTCATAACATAAACTATATATTACTAAAACCGAAAACAGGTCATGGTCTATAACCTGCATGTTATGTAACATATTACTATATTATATAGGTTGAAGGCGCGATAATTTTACTGTCTTTATTGTGAACCTCTAGTACGTCCATAGTATGTTAAAATTGTGCTTTAGATTTTATCCAACAGAATATGTAGACAAAATAAATAAAACTTCTTCTTCAAAAAAAAACTTCATTCTCAATCCTTTAAAACTCAACACAGGTCACATACGTGCAAAATGTTAGCATCTTGGTAAGCAGCTTTGATGGAATCATGGATCCCCATAAATTCCAGCTCAGCATTATGCACTAGTATTACAACGATCGTGATATCTGACATACAGAAATAACTCAAACCTGCCTGATTTCTTTTTTTCTTTTTTGTCATTTCCGGGCAGCACAACAAGCTGTAAACACAACATTGACATATTATCACCATATAAAGTGGAGAGCAGCAGATACAAAGTACTATAAGGATTGTCTCTTGCCACATAATGAATGTGAGCTCAACACCCTCTCCTTTTAGCTTCGTTTTGGTCTCCACCAATTCCTGAGGGAAAAATCTGTCTCTAATGCTCCACATGTTCATAGCTAGTCGCTGACTGCCTGACTGCTGTTGGGTGCTGGGAAGGTAGTATACAGTGGTTTACCAGAGCTTTTTCACTGAAATAGCTGCCTGCTGCATCTTGACAACAAAAACGATGACCGTGAACAAAGACTGTAAAATTGTGGGCTGTAAAACTAAAAAAATAAGCTTAAAGACGCTAAAATGTTCCTTAGAGCTGAGGGGAACAGTACTGTGTTACAGTGTTCACTGTTCTCAGAATTAAACTGCGGCATGGATCACATTTGCCAGTTAAGGTATGTTAACCTTATAATAAAAACTAAGTATTAGAGAATACCAGCAGATAAAAATGTCAGCACTCCTGAACTGATGAGTCTACAAGAGACTTGTCTTTGTGCATTGGTTTGGAAATGACATACCAACACCTTCAATTTGCCGTATGGTTCACTTGACTTTTAACTGCCTCCTAACACCTCTAAACATCAAACTCCCAGAGAACCTTAAATGTTTAACAGTTCTCATGCAAATCAGGAAGCTATAGCTGAGGGCTAAATAAGTGTCATTTATGATTTATTCAAGTCTTGCAGCTGCCCAGTGGCTTTACAGGACAGATACTCTCCAGCTGCAGTTATTTATTATATACTTCTCTTGGAGTAATGCAGTGGCTGTTATGTCAGTGTGTGTTTAGGTGAGAGAGTGTGTGTGTGTGTGTGTGTGTGTGTGTGTGTGAGTTACATGCTTCTGTATTCCCTAAAGAGCCGGCCAGGACTGCTGCTGCTGTTTCTCCTTATAAGGATGTCTGCTTGTGGAAGGAGGGAATGAGAAAAAGGAGAGAGAGAAGAGGAAGGGAGGGACTGAGGGAGAGGAAGAACAAAAAGTGTGAGGAAGAAATGGATAGATGGAGGGAGGGACAGGTGAGAGACGGAAAGGAATAGGGGCAAGGAAACAGAGGATGAGGGGAGGGAAGGGAGGGGAAGAGGAAGATAAAAAAGGATGGGGGTCAGGAGGGAGACAAGGAGGGATGGAAAGGAGAAAGAGAAGCTTGGAGGAGTTAGGGTTGAAAGGAAAAGAAGGCAGTTTAATTAAGGAGGCATGGATGGCAGAGATGCACCATGACATGCGAGGTTCATAGGAAAGAGAGAACAAGATATATGGAGGGAGGGAGGGAGGGAGGTCGAAAAAAAGTGGGGAAAAGGAAGACAGAAAGGAGTAAGAATAGAGAAGGACAAAGTGCCTATTTGGGAAAGGAGAGATGAATGTTAAACAGGACTGGACTGCAGCAAACAAAAGGGAATAGGAAGGATGGAGGGAAAGAACAAAGGAAAATATATGTGGTTGAAAGGAAAAGAGACAGTGAAAGAGGAAGAATTAAGAAAATAAAGAAAAGGTGTAAGAGAGGAGGCTGAAGAAGAATGGATGAAACCCAGGTGAACCTGGAGGTAAAACAGGGAGAAAAGAAAATTGGGACACAGGTAACAGTGACCCATTTCCACAAACTCTGCGTGTGTGTGTGTGTGTGTGTGTGTGTGTGTGTGTGTGTGTGTGTGTGTGTGTTTGCACCATGCCTTTTCAAGATTCAAGAACTTTGGCACATGTTCCATGTGCAGTGAAATGAAAAAAATCCTACAAGCTCTGATTCTATTCTAAGTCCTGCAAGGAGGGGAGTGCAGCTGAACACACCACTCTGTGCAGAACCCTCCAGTCCTGAGCGGAGCTTTTGAGAGAGACTGGTGTGTAGAACCTGGGAGACCGCATCATTTGCTGATCTGTTTGGCTTGTATGCAAATTGCAGCAGGTTCCTGATACAAGGGAACCTGCTTTGGGGGGTCACTGGTTGGTAGTCATTCATGCAGACTGGAGAAGCATTCTTAGGCACATGGCAGTAGTGGATGTCTTGAAGCAGGTGAATATTGGAGTGAACACGGGAGCTAGCTGATTACCAAAGGACTTCAGTAATTGCCCATATATGCTTTCCCAGTGTTCACACATGTCAGAGCCCTCCTCATGTTGCTCAGTGACAGAGATTTCTACTGAAATCGCTTTGAAAGGCGCTGGAATAAATGTATGGCCTGAGTGACCAGAAATAGAACCTGAAGAGTCAGCTGTGGGATTGTTTGTGTGTGGGCGGCATCACTGCCTGTTAAATGAGAAGGAACTGGTCAAAATATCTGTTATCTTGATGCCTGCTGGCTACACCGGAAGCCCTTAAATACTGGCCATCGCCCCCAGAGGCTAAATCATTATCAGACGAAGGCCGATGGGTTTCGAGATTGATGAAAAAGAAACAACTAAAAAACTAACTGTTCCTTTTCTTTTCTATTTTTCGTGCAAAAAATAGTAATTCCTACCTTCCAAATATGTTTTAGATTTTCCTAGAATGCTCCTTTAAGCACAGAACTGAGCGTCCAATGACCAATGACAGGAGTGGTAAGCGTGTATATTGATCTTCTCAGTAATCTCTGTAATAAATAAGCCTAAATCAAAGTTATGAAAAGAAAAAGTAAAGCTTTTGGACAAAAGATAAAAGGCAAAATTATTGACAAAAGAATACTTTAGTCCTCAAATTTCCATTTCCCGTTCTTAGCTTTCAAATATGACAAATTACTCCTCTGCTTCCCTTTTCCTTACTTCTGCAATTTTATTTTGCTCTTCCTCTTTCTCTCCCTCATGCCTTTTTCTCTCCCCTTCTCTTCTCACAACCCCTCTACCTTCATGCCATCACTTCTTTCTTCCTCCGCCTCTCTCTCTCTCTCTCTCTCTCTCTCTCTTTCAGCTGCTCCTCCCAGCTGTTTAATCACACATGGCTCATGCCTAAAAAAGAGGGAGGGAGTGAAGGAGGGGACAAATGGGAGGAGGCACAGACAGCGCAAAAGAAAGAGTGGGTGATAGAGACAGAGAGAGAGAGAGATAGCAGGCTGAGTTTGAGGCACATGGCCAGTGAATGAGAAATCTTTACGTCCTCTCAGTGCGAGCTCCTTCTCCCACTGTCTCCTCTCTCTGGTTGGATTACTGCTGAGGAAGGACCTCGTCTGGATACTCCTCCTCCTCCTCCTCTTCTCCTTCTCTTCCCTCTCTCCTCTACTTCCCTCCCCACTCAGTCTCTGTATCTCTCGCTGAGGGACTCCGGCTCTTCCCAGATCTCACGTCTTGTTCTCCTTTCACCCCCCTCTCCCCTGCTTCCCCCTCAGGATGTCGTGTGAGGAGGCTCAGCTCCACAAAGAGAGGCTGCAGGCCTTGGCGGTAAGTCAGAGTGTGTTCAAACTGTCTGTTTGTGCTCTGTTTTGTCTTTTGATGTTTCTTTGACCTTCTACACGGGCACCCCGTCTCACCTTGACTTCATCTCTTTCTGTCATTCGCAGTACAATATCTCATCTAACTGTCTGGCAGCTGTGCAACTCCGCCAGTCTATCTGCCTCTTTCATAAGTTCTGTCACTCTCTCATTCTCTGTCACGCTTTCTCTGCCTTATCACATTGTTCATTCATGTTCCATTCACATCAAATGCAACACATGTAGAGGGCGGGAAAAAGTATTCCCATCTGTTTTTCTCTCTTTGCTCCGTACCAGTGTTCACGTTTGTTGAACGTTGACTGATGAATTTGTATGACGTAAACACAAGAGTAAAGGTGCTAAACATCACAGTGACCCCTTGGCTGAAACTTAAACATGGAGCAGCAGCGGTCTGACCTTGTGTTTTATAATGGTTCTGAAGCCAATTACCTAAAACATATGAACTTGTTACATATGAAAGTATAACATAAGCTGAAGTGTGTAATGTTCTTTGTTACACATTCACCATGTTAGCAAAAAGTCATCCACCTTAGCTTCTGTGGTGGGATGCCAAATGCTAACCAAGGTGACAAGAGCTAAAATAAAACATTGTTCACTGCTTTATTTTTGATCATCACGATTGCATTGAGTAGATTCTGTGTCATACTGGTGTTTTAGTTGTTAAATTAAAAAGTGAACAAGCTGAATGTGTTGGGAGCCCTTCAGCATGACATCATGGCCTCCTACACCCATTCTGGTCACACAAAACAAAGTGTTTTTTGTTGCACCCATTGTAATGCGCTTTACTCCCTCACTTCCTACACTGCTGCTGTGCTTGTCTTGCTGCTCATGTCTTTTTTTGGGGGGGGGGGGGGGGCAACTTAGAGGAAAGTTGGTGGAAAATCAGTTTTTTCAGGGTGTTTTTTTTTGTATTTGGCCCAAAGTCTGAGGTTGTTTCTTTAGGTTTGTGTGCTTTTAAAGGTAGAAGGAAGTCAGCTGCGAGGTGGTCTAGAATATGTTTCGATACTCGCCGTTATGTTTCATGATACGCTATGCATCTGTTGAAGTGTTTGGCTCTGCGCTGGTAGGACTTCAGAGCAACAGTTAGTCCGGGATTCACTGCCTGGGACTAAATTTGGCGCCAGCGAGGAACCACAGCATACCACACACACTCAAGACGCACAGAGGCACAGGAACAAGCACGCACACATAAGTGGGGGGAACAGCAGCAGCAGCAGATGGAGAAGCTATTTTGGCCACGTTGAAACATGGCAGCCATACCAGGCTCTGTGTACTTAAACCAGTCAGGCACTCAGAGTGGAAAGTTCTCACAAGCATTTGTGTTTCTTGCATCATTCTTGCATGTGTATTTGGCGAAACACTGCAAAATCATTGATTATGATATCATGTAATTGTGTTTTGGTTTGGTGCACCGGGCCAAGGAAAACTGTTGTAAACACTAGAGAGAGTACTCTATCTGGTCTAATTCTAGCCCGAAGTAATATCAGAGATCCTACTGCAAGTGCCAAGAGCTTCGACATACATTTAAAGTAAGGTCAGGTGTTGAATATAAGTAAATCATTTGAGCCTCTTTGCTTCCTCCAAATGAGCATCTGTCTTGTCTCAGCTTTGCGTGTGTAAACTATATCAAAGACAATAACGGCACTAATAGCTTTCAAGCCCTACCAGGCACTTAAATAGAGAAGGGTTACTATTACACTAATAGTACTAACAACTCTCTGAGGCAGCTAAGCACTCTGTAAGCCTCAGTCCCAGTCAGCCAACGCAGGCCCAGTGTAAATACAAAAGCTGGACAAAGTTTTCCAGAGTGTCTCTAAGGGAAGGGGATGGATTTTTAAAGACACTTCCTAATCTGGCGGCAGTTTCAGTGCACCAAAAGTACTGGATTACAATAAATTGTCCCAGAACAAATTTTGATTGATCGTAGGTGCTAAAACCAGACGATACTGTCTTCAGCAAGGATGAAGAGAGGTGTACAGTGCACACACACACACACACACACTGTCTCAGTTCTGCAGCTGACATGCTAATGATTTCGTCAATAATTGATACTCTGAGATTTCAATGTCATCACCATCGGTGTCTGACCTCATCAATAGTTCATCAGATCTCGAGCCAAATTGGAGGTTTCCTCTAAAATCAGAGCCAATTTTTAAACCAGTCAACCACTGAATGAACACCTAATGAACACGTCATATGGACTTCCAGTTTGAGTTCAAACTGATTTTCAAAAGAATCACTGCCAGCTGTCAGTATATTGTTCATTTCCAGCAGACAGGTCTATGTGCTGCATGGCTCATGAATAAAGCATTGCACTAATGGCTGTGAATCACCAGCCCCGTTTTTTTAGCTTAACAAACAGAAAGCATGACATTCCTATCTGCTCAATCCCAGCACTCAGTGAGACAGTGTAGAATTTGACCAGGACATTTAAGTCTTCTTTACAATTGCTCAAAGCACATTATAATGTATAATATATTTGTCATTTTAATACATTTATTTTAATGCACATACACAAAAAGATGATAACATGATTTAAGAATGGATATTTCTAAGGTCTCCATGTGTAGTTTACAAAAATGTGACTCTAGACAGCTATTCAGGTAGCCATTTCAGTTATTTTACACATGGGAACAAGAAAATTAAGACTCAAATGAATTGTATTAATTTATCACCCAGCTCTAGATTGTTCACATACTGCCAGCATGCAGTATGGCTGTCTTGCGATGTAATTACTATAACTTTCTTCTGTAAGTACTGGACTATACCTCATTTTCTTATTAATTATTAGAGGACCAGGATAGCAGTCTACTCTGTGTGGCATTTATTTACCATTTATGTACATTAGACTTGTTGCTGCATTTTTCCCATCTTAAACTTAACTGGACTAAATTTAACATGGCTAAGATGGTTGTCTTTTGAGTTTTGTCAGATTTAATCCCATACAAATGTATTACTGGTTGGTTTCTTTTCCACACACAGTAATAAGATTACTTAAAGCGTTAGTCGTGCAGTAAAACAAAGGGTGGGGAATTTGCCAATGTTTAAGCTAAGAGTTGATTACACGATTGCCTTATTTGTCTGCCAGACACACAGGCAAAGATTCCCACAGTCTGATAGTGATTAGAGCCTGTCAGCTGCCAGCGGTGCAAGGTTTCCATGGTTACTAATTGGTCAGATTAGGGAACAGTTGTGATGTCATGTTGTTAAATCCAGACCTGTAATTGGTGTATTATTAACATGTAATTATGGCCGTTGGATGGAGTACAGCCTTGTCAGAGTACCTAAAAAAACTGATTATGTATGTGTGTGTGTGTGCGCTTGTGTGTTTCATATCTGTGTTTTTTTTGTAAGTTTGCGTGTGTTCACCAAAACCCTGTGGCGGGTTTTGAGGTCAGCCAATGAATGGTGAGTGCTTTCGTCTTTCTAATTAGCCGTTGCCCATGTGGCCTACCAACCGCAAACGGCACAGCAAAATACATATAAGCGTGTGTGTCTTTGCATGCACTTCTCTGTAGTGTCTGTGATATGATTACACTGATAACCTCAGCCCTTCGGACTCTTAGCTGCCCTCCAAGCCCCTATCCCCGACACACACTCAGGAAGTGGTACATGAGGAGTGAGATGATGGTGCTGTGTGTGTGTGTGGGGGGGGGGTGGGGGGGGGGGGCAAAGAATGAGGAAAAGACAGCTGCTGCCACTGGGAACAAAACGGAGACTGTCGGCGTCCAAAGATATTTCATTGCAAAAAGATTTTCAGCTCAAAATCTTCACCGCTGCACCTATTGCCTCTTTTTCTGCTTTAAGCGTATTATTAAGAATCCTGCAAGGCTAATAAGCAGTTATGAATTATTTTATTTCCCGGACTCTACCACAGGCTGATATTCTTGGATGAGCTCTGAGAAGTAATGTGTAACTCAGGGTCATTCTGGAAGCTGGTCAGTGTTCTGGATCCACTTAGTGAGGTCTAACAGAGGGAAGTGAGTGGGGCAGGGCGAAGGTGAGGGGGATGCTGTAGCTAGACCTTGGCATGCACAGAGATTTGTGACTGTGGCATGCAGTGCAGGGTTGGGGGTAATAGGCTGCTTTAAGAGAGGTAAATAGCGTGGGGGCTGGGCTGCCTGCAGGCATGTGTAGTTTCAGTTTGTGCAGTTTACCTACTCATAGTTTACATTTTGGCAGCTTTGAACCCTTGAAAACAATTAGGAAAATACTGATTGAGGTTGCCAAAATGCAGTCAAGTGTTTTCTCCTAACTATGAGTTTCACACCTTGTTCTATTACTTTAAGTGATTTTCCTATGCACTTAGGCACATCTGAATCATGTGAATCAGATTTAATGGCACTGCTTTGTGCTCCAAGTCAAACATACCTGTTATAGAGATTAGCTGTTCTGTCATCTTTTTATTTGTAATTATTTTAATTACACTAGGTAATGGATGTAAGCTAAACTGTTGTGTTGCAGATCAACAAGAATAACCTGAAATAAACTCTGTAAGAGATTGTTTGTCTCCGTCAGTTTTTTGCTTACATTCGGACATGTCTTACCATTCCTATGCTCTATCTGAGGCGAGACTGAACACAACTTTGCAGCCCTGGATGAGTCCAGCTACAATAAATCAACATATGTATGCCATCTTTTAAGCCTTTGTTTAGTTAACATGGGAACTGGCTTATTTGGTCCCATTGACTGAAAAGACAAAAATGGTTGTCTCCATCTTCTCCATTAAATTGGACATACTGTATATGCAGACAGCACAAAGACACAGCTGGTTTATGATGAGTCAATGGAGTCACTGTGTCACTTTCAGTAAATGTTAAAGTCTGACTGTCCACATGTGATTGCTCAAGATGCTTCCTGAATTAGTGTCTTAGGTTTTGAATATTTGGCAGAATGGGTGTTGCAAACTAACAAGTGAGCAGACTGGTTCCCAGAGAGGCAGGAATGAAT